CCAATTCCTATTAGAGCAGCAACTCCCCAGCTCGCCAGGATCATGGCCACAACAACACGATGAGTTATTTTACTTTTGTAAGTGAGAGGCTGACACACTGCAAAATATCTGTCAACAGAAATACAACTTAAGTTCAAAATAGAAGCTGTGCTCAGTGTAACATCAAAGCTGCCTCGTACTTTACAAAATAAATCCTCATAATACCAACATTGAGTTACAGTGAAGGCCATTTCAGAAGGAAAGACTAAAATCCCAACAAGCACATCAGCCACAGCCAGAGAGAGAATAAGGTAGTTAGTAGGGATGTGGAGCTGTTTGAAGTAAATGATGGAGATTATTACAAGGAGGTTTCCACATACGGTGACAATGGACAATGAACCAAGTAAAATATATAATAGTATACATATTAATGAAGGGTTGAATATAAATATATACGTTCCACTGTATGATACATAGCAGGGATGTATAACAGTGTAAGTCCCATTGGCAGTCAGCTCTGGTTCCATGTTTTTATATTCTTGCAGCTCAGTTCTCCATAAACAATCACTTACATTCATCAAGCATTTTACATACTAAATACTACTATTTACTTCAGCATGTTCACTAACAACAATATCAGTGATTAAAAACAAAAACATGTAGTGCACAACACACAAAATTTGTTACCTTATGTTTCATATCATACACCTCAAGTTAGGCTATGCATTACTATTGCTGTGTGTCCTTATTCACTGTGCCACTGTGCAGAATCTTTGGACTTGATATATAAGTTATCAGCCCTTTCCTAATTACCATAATTAATGCGAACATCTCCTGTCTAATCTGATGGGACACACGAAACAATGCTTGCACGTGATATGATTAATCCACTAATTGTATGTGTTCTTAACTCTGTTTAAACAGTTTTAAATTACCTTTTAAAATTACTTTTTACATTTTTACTAGACAGCTGTATGCACATTCATTGCAAAGCACATAACTACAAATATCTTTCTTTGCCATAATTAAATTAGAATCAATTTTCTGTCTCACAACACTTTCAAAGTTACAGCTCTCTCATTAGTTTTGTTTATATGTGGACCTCTTCAATTTGAGCTGAACATGAGCCTATGTAATTTTGCAGACCTGTAGTTACAGTATTTTTGTATTTGTGGCTCAGGAGGTAAAGCAGGTCATATCCTAACCAGAAGACTGATGGTTCGGTTCCCAGCTTCTCCAGTCCACATGACCACTGAACCCCTAGTTGCTCCTGGTGGTGAGTGTGAATGGGTAAATGTGCAAATAGTGTGAAAGTGTTTTGAGTGTGCTGTAATGCCTAGAAAAGCACTGTACAAGTATAAGACCATTTACTATCTGTGCAAGAGAAAGGAACCCTCTTCTATTTCAACCATCCATCATTTCCATCATCCATCATTTCGATATAACTAAAACACCATTTAAAAAAAAAATATTTCTCAATCCAGTGTCCAGGAAACACCATCAGTGAATTGGACAATTTGCTACAATTTGCTGTGGCGGAAACAAGGAACTCTCCAGTCAGCTACAGTAGCAGGCTAATGGCTTGCTAACACTCGGACACTTGGATCTGCTGCTGGTTCTTGAGACATACTACAATGCTCACTGTTCCAGAGTTCAAGGTTCGAGGATTTTATTGGCAATTCACCATATGCTAACTAAACACAATGGAATTAAGGAGCTTAAAGATTCTGGAGAACCATCGAACTAGCCGCTGCCCCTTACTATTGACTGCCTACTGGCTGCCCGGGGGTGATCTGATTAATTTTGGTCATGTGCCTTTTCTGCCTTATATGCAAACTTAAATGTTTTTGTATGGATGTACATGAGACTCATCCAAAAACTTCTCTAGAGGCTTGCTGTGCTCTGTTGAAAATGTAGTTGCTGTTTATTTGTTTGTTTTCAAATCAGTTAGACTGATGTCAGATACAATATTTATAATCTGTATATGCTGAATAACAAGATCCTGAAAAATATATTGTTTCATACAGACCTGAAAAGTTTGTTATTGTATTACTGAACAGAAATATTTAATGATTAAATCTAATCATTTTAACTTCGAATATATTCAGTCTGTTATTCAAAGTTTGTTTACAGTATGATGTAATGTTACTGTGCAAGCTGACACCTCTCCGATTAGAGGTGTGAATGACTGTTAAGTCTTTGGTCCCTGAGCTTGTCTGGTGGTGCACATGAGCTGTACTTCTCTCCAAGGGCCACTGTACTCTTATTAGGGAAGTAATTGTCACTAGGCAATTATGTTTATATGTGAAATATTTCCAAGAAACTTACACAGTGAAACAAAGCAAGAACAGCTGAGTAACAGCAAAAGTGACATAACTTGGTGATCACAAAATAACTTCACTGATCATCAGCTCACAAAACATAATGAAGACAACTGCTTTGCATGTTTTGCATAGCTGCGGAAAAGTTTGTCACCTTGGATTTACTGACATTGCCATCCCTAGACCTGTGCCACAGGTACAGTGTCGATGATCTGTCTGCCCTGCCCAGCAGCGTTATGTTGCTGAATGCTTGTAATTCATAAACAAACCTTTGATGTGTCAGATTGGTTAAACCTGTTTAAAGTCATAAGATAAACCTTAAATGAAGCCAGTGCCTCAGAATAGGTGGAGTTTTATGCTTTCACCCATTTTCTCTTCCATAGTGAAGACATTCATGGATTGGCTATAACATATTTTCAAAACACTTAACCCTATAAAACCATTTGTTTCATCTGCTATGCAAGTTTCTGAGCAAAAAAAAAAAAAAAAAATCGCCAAAAATGCCCCATGTATCAAATGTGATACAAAAAAAAAAATAAACAAAATAATATGGCACATTTATTCCTATATGTCTGTCTATGCATAATGGTAAATAAAAATCTTCAATCTTGAATTTTTTTTTTTGGATTTTGTTAAAAGGCTTAATAAACATTTCAGTTCCAAAAAATTATTCTGGCTATTTTTTGATGTGTCAGGCTTCCACAGTTATGCCAACTTTTCTAGATTTTTCATATGTAACTACAGCCTATGAATGCTCATGGTTCCCACCCTCTCTTATTTTGGAAACAAGAAATGAAGGCACAGTTTGGAAGGATTTAAACAGTTTTTCTAAGTGTGCAAAGACCACTAACGTCTTCTGTACAGTATATTAGGCACTCCCAAACACTTTCGCTCAACACGCTCACCTTGCGTCTAAATCATTGATTTACATGGACAGTCTGACAGGTCACAACAGTGAGGCGACCACAGGTCAATCGCCCCCTGGTGGCTGGTTGCAGTATAGGTCATAAATCCTGCCTCCAAGTTAGTGAATGGAACATGAGCCAAACTAAAAACTCGAAGTACAAATCAAATAAATTTTCCCCTGTGGTTTCTGGTAGATATCATCATGCTGATGTGTGCACAAGTGGTAATTTTTCTGGTAAGTTTGTTTTTAATAAGTAATTTAATTATATATTAAATATATTATGTGTATTTTACTTGATCTGAGAGCTTTGACTGGTGGTCCAATGCTGTCACTCCTCCTCTGGTCACTACTGTGCAGAATCTGGTTGCAATAAAGCAAGATGGCAGCCGCTGTATTCACAGTATTTTGGCTTCACCTTTGCATAGTTGAGGGAAGTGGTGATGCCATGTCCATCGTTTATTCAGTGGAAGGTCCAAATACACTAAGCCCTTCTTCTACCAGTAGTTGTTTCTAACATACTGGCTTCCTTCTGCATGTGTGACCCCGGAGTCCTCCACCAACACCTTTCCACTGTATCTACTATGAATGAACTCTCTGGGTTCTTATGAGAAGGGAACAGAGTGCCCTCAATGCAAGAATCTGTAGGGGACCTGTGCCCCATGCCCTACACTTCCACTTGGTACCAAATAACAACTGTCACTGTACATCACTGCACAAAAGTTCCCCATTACCCTTTTGGGTAACATGTTATTAACCCATGACCTCTTCAGGTGGAACGGCAGAAGCTCATTATAAGACATTCTTCCATCAGTATGATTGTCTGCCTTAATATTATGTGCCTGCAGAAAGCTTGTTCCATTGGCATATACAGTAAGAGCACTGGGTCTATCTGTCCTGCTTACCTGCTGAGTATTTTTTGTTTGTTTTATTTTAAAAACTATCCTTCAGCTAACACAAACATACAAATCACACTGAAAGTGAAACAAAACTTATATCATCTTCCCAGATTGTTGCCATTGCTGTTCCCTCATACATACACAGATCATTCAGTGGTTATACTGATCAGGGATCAGACAAACACCTGAACAGCTCAATGCACTTTTAGTATGACTGTATTAGTTGAAATCACTGTGTTGAGCACCTTTTTTCAGTGCAGTGTTAAAGAATAAGGATCAACACTTGGACTCACACTATTCATTAGATTGGAAACCCTATCTTTTTGTGCCTCTCCTCTTACCACTGTGCTATGAGCTCAATGTCAAGAAGACCTCAGTATTTTACAAAGTATCTACCAATAACCTTAAAATTGCAGTAATAAGTATTTGTATTGTTCGGCATGTTCGGCATGTATTTTGAAAGAGCTCCTTCATAGTGGCAAGTCCACAAAGAAAAAACCCAGCACAGCAGTTCCTGCAAGCTCTACAGTGTTTACAGATTTCACATACAGTTTTCAAAAGCCTCAAGTGGAATCATGTAATGTGTTTAGCTGATAAAAAGCTTTGCGGAAAGCTGATGGTGTGAAGCTACACCTTGCTTTCCATTTTAATTGTTTAGACATGTAATTTAGTGTTATAATACTATGCTTCTTTTTAAATTAATACTTTATATAAACACTGACAATACACTTTATATAATCCTGTTTCAAGGGTTATTGTATCCATTTGTATGGTAAAAGCAGTTATGGTGTCTATGTTTTTTATTACAAGCCAAACACACAAAAAGTAGAAATATGTTTATTGTGTCAACAGTCATAATTAGAAACATATTGGCATTTCAGCACTCTGTGTAAAACATTAATGAAGCTTTAAGTTTCCAAAATCACCTTGGTATATTTTTCCAGAAATGATCATTCTGAATGCTACCCTGAACCAGTTGTAAAAGAATGCGTAGACAAATGGGTTTAGCATGGAGTTTGACCTTCCAAGCCAACTAAATGCTTCAATGACAAAAACAGGAATTGCATAGTTACTCACAGGCTGAAAGGTGAGGCAAAGAAAAAAAGGAGTCCAACACACCAGAAACACTCCCATCACCGTAGCCAGAGTTTTAGTGGCCTTTCTCTCCACCTTACTGACAGTTGCTCCAGATGCTGTGTTCTGGATTCTGTGGGCCTGTTTTTGTGCCACCTGCAAAATCTTCAAGTAGATACAGAGCATGATACTTGCTGGGAGATAAAAAGATCCAATGCACACAAAAGTGGGTGTTATTTTGACATGAAATGGACAACTGTCAACACATTTTTTCTTGCTGAAACCTGCAATCATTACACCAACTGCAATTATGACAGAAACACTCCAGCTCACCAAGATCATGATGGTAGCAACATGATCATTTATTTTTGTTCTGTATCTCAGAGGTCGACACACTGCATAATATCTGTCAACAGAAATACAGCACAGGTGAAAA